GAGATGGAAAAAGAACCTTCCTGGGTGAATCAGTGGTCCAGGGTGAGGCAGGCAGGTACCCAGGGTCACCCTGCCAATGTGCCCAGGAACCCAAGAGAACAAGCCCAAGAAGGCGTGGCAGCCCAGCCCCCAGGACCTCCATGGCCTGCCCCTTCCTTCTAAGCCCTTCTTCCTTCCCCCGGCCCAGCGTCTTCTGCTCCTCTAGGTCTGTAATCCCGACCCTCTCTGACTTGGCTCCCACCAGACTCCCCGTGTCCTTGACTTTCTGCTTGCTCTATCCTCAGAGAAAAAGAAAGCATCGCTCTGGATCTGGACAAGCCAGCTGCATTTCAGTCCTCCTCAGATTCCTGCAGCATTGCAGAGTCACGACGCCCCGCTCCCTCCTGTCCCCCACACCCATCACTTCGTCACCATCTCCAGCCCTTAGAGATCAGAGGTCCCCGGAAAACTAAAACTCAGAGCCCCAAATGTGTCTGATACTAAATGGTGCAAGGGAATCGCCTGGGCACGTGCGCGGTGAAGCTTCTGGGCGACACCAGCCTGATGCCTTAACTCACTCAACCCTTTCCAAAAGCCTGCTGGAGGCACTGTTGTTATCATCCTCCCCGTTTTACAGATGAGATAAGTGAGACACGGGGACACTGAGCTAGGACATCAAGCCACGATGAAAATCCAGGTGAGCTGGCTCCAGGGGCCACACACATGACCCCCACCCGTTTCACTCTTCGGAGGTGCTGAGGGGCAGCAGAAGGCACCAGGGTCGCCGTGCTGGGCCCTGGGCTGCGAGGCGGGGACAGCAGGAGTGGAGCTTGGGTCAGTAGACAGGCCAGGGGTGGGAGCACAAAACAAGTACGGACCCAGAATGCCAGTCGGGAAAGCGGCCAGGAGCCAGGAAGGAAGGCAGGAAAGAAGCCGGCATTCTGAGCACCTCCGAGGTGCCTGGCGTTCGCATAGTGAGCGTTCAGAGGCAGGAGGAGGGGTCTCCCCCAGCACAGGGTAGCTTTGTCGGAGCAGGTGGCCTTGGTAGAGTGAGCCTTCAGCCCACAGGCCAGGCTCCTCTGCTGACCAGCAGGAGGATCTGGAACCAGCTGCCACTGGACTGAGCTGACCTTGAGAATGAAGCCTAGCCAAGGATAGCAAAGCAGAAAGTCAGAAGATCCTACAACACTGATGACAACCGGGGAGCTACCAGACTGCCCCGCACCATCTCTTACAGGACATACAAATAACATTAAGTCACTATTTTTTAGGTCCGCTACTTGCAGCCAAATAAAATTCTTATCCACACAAGTGACAAGTCTGGGGAAA